ATCTTTGGAATATTTTGCGATAAACGAGCAGATATCGTTATAATTTAATCCGGCGTAAGCGCTAACGTATTTCTGCGTACAGATCAGCTCTTTTCCATTGTCAAAGACACAGTTCGAGTACAGCGTTGGCTACGAGTACATGTTGTTCACGTGTTATAACTTTTCCGACATTCGATCAGTCGACGGTTCTAGTGTGTTATTCAGTGCGCGTTATGGCTCAGCAAATGATCGAAAACAGTTACTACTCGGCCGTGGGAGGTTTCACCGTCAACGACATCGTTAATTATGCTGCTGGTGCTCCGGGTAAAGAGAACGATTCGCCCTCGACGACGGACGCGCAACGAGATTCGCAACAGCTGTCCGTGGACTTGATCGACTGCTCCACGTTTACGTTAGACTTAACCGAGCGTAAGTCTATCGCCGTAGGATTGGATCCCGCGAACGATTTCAACGTGGTGATACGTTTATCGAGTTCGACGCGCGACGTGTACATATCGCCCGACTTTATACGTCGACTGTACTCGTTGATGGGCAACATACTGTCGATTATCAGCGATTCGCCTACGTTGAAAACTCGCGGGGAAAAACTGTTTCTCAAAGACGAGACGAGCACCCTGTCCAAAACGATGTATCGCGGGAAAAACATGCTACTCGTCGACTCGCATCACCGTAACGGATCTCGCGTGATGTTGAGCCGAGCGAATCTGTTGAAATTACAAGATTTGAAGCGCTGCGTGGAGGAGACGATTACACGCAAATTAATCGTCACCCGCACCACCGTGCGCGAGATGATGAATCAAATCGTCGTGTACCTGTCGAAAAATATCTACAGAGCAAGCGGCACGTCGTGCGCTGAGACCGCCGATATCATTAGGAATATTCATAACGATTTGATCACGATGCACGTATCGTGCTCGCTGTACGATCGCAGTTTTCTCGAGCAGATAAAACTATTCGCCGTCGATCAGCTGGCGCAGCGTTGGATCGACGCGAAACGCGGATCTCCAGCGGATGACGTAATCGGTTACGTAAACGGGGACGAGAACAACGACAGCAACAACAACAACAACAACAACAACAACAACAACAACAACATCATTATCGATAACTCCGACATTTATCCGCTATCTGAGGTAATTATTTTCATCGCTTTTACATACACACATGCACACACACAATTATATAATATTAATCGGTATATTTTTATAGCATTCACCGCCTGTAGACGTGAACGATGGACCGCTATATTTTAATTACTTCCGCTGACTCGAGGACGACGGTATCGCGGAAGAATGAAACAACACTTGAACGTAGGATCGGGGATAAGACGCCACCGCGATAGTTGAGAATGAAATATAATAATAATAAAATGTAAAAAATATTCAATAAAATGCATACGTTTTATTTATATATAAAAAAAAAAAACAAACATGTGTTATTATTTCATATAGAATATATATATATATATATATTTATTAATTTTTTCTGACTTCACCGGTAAACGGGTTGTATTGAATGACTCGGTCATGAATGAGCAAACAGTACGCCGAAGTGTCGGCCTGGAAGTTATTCGCAGCCTCGAATTCGATTCTCAAATCGATAGTAGACGTTTTAGCGTCATCGTTTTGACGCGAACAGTCGATGCATATGAACGGACCCAGTTCTTTGTACTTTTCTTTACTCAGATACGGTTGGGCGGTCATGCGCTCGTAGTAATATTTTTGAAAATCCGCATATCCTTGGTAGAACATTGTAAACTGGTCTTTGTCGAAGCTCTCGTTGTAATTCTCGTACGGGTATTCTACCGAGTTTATGTACGCTTTCACGTTGGTCAGTGAACACGCGTCAAAGTCTGACGCGAATTCCTCGGTCATATGACTGGAGTCTTTGCGCAGAAAAGCGATTATCAAACATCGTGGTTTCTCTACACGCGAACAGGTTTTCACCATCCACGAGTGTTTTCTCGTCTGCGGTATATTAGGATATTCGCATAGTTCCCAATTTCTAAACGCACAGTTTATCGTTTTTTTTGAATCGATAATTTTCAACAGTTTTAACTTCTCTCTGTCATTGACCTTGACCACGGGCACCTTCCACATGACTTTCGCCATTCTATTTTGATTAATTTCACTTTAGCTTGAACAGTCGCATCGCTCAAAACTTCATTACCTTTCAAGAAAAACGTCAACGATCCCAGATCGTCTGTCGCCCGGTTCAAGATTAATTGTTGCGAGCAATTTATCAAAACTTTATTATAATCTTCGGCGAATCCCAGAACGTGTTTCAGCGGGATACATCCGGTAAACGTGCCGTCTTTTATAAATTTTTTATTCGAATCCGCATCGTCCCAAGTAGCGTTTTGCAAACAGTTTACGTCCGCGGGCGTATAAGAACAATAACCTTTCAACGAGCTGCTCACACCCGGTCGTTTAACGCGTTGTATTTCCACGGAGTTAATTTCATATTTGATTTCGTTAAACAAATTAATCAAACCGTTCTGGCAAAACGTGACTTCGGACAACAGATCGGCCGGTTTTATCAATTTGCCCTCGATGTAGATAAAACTCTCGCTAGGCAGTGTGACGGCGTCTCTGTTCTGTATAGGGATACGTATCTCGTCACCTTTGTTTATAGCCGTGCTGGAGAACGGTAAAAACGAGTGTAAAAACATTTCCTGGATAGGCGCCTCGTTCACGTACGGCTCGGTCACGTCCAAATACGATCGGTCCATGTTATTACGATGACGTCTTATTGCGCGAGATGAAACGTAGAAATTCACGATTCGCCTTTGTAAGAGCACTTTTATCGATATTGTTAACGGAACGATATGTTTTTTTATCTGCACGTTTCCGGCAAGTGGTAGTGTCTCCGTCGACAGGCACGCGGTTAATGCGTGTTTGTCCGCGATCTGCTACGTATTTATTTACATTAAATTTGAGTCCCATCTCGATTATTATTATATTTTTTTTTTAACGAGAAGACGTACGTTCAACGTCTCACCACGTATATTAATTAATTTATCGTCTTGATCTCTCAACGTTACACGCACGTTATCCACGGTGTTCGTCCCTAGCCGATATAAAACACAATATTTCGGTACTTCGATTATTTTGAATCCCGGCGCGACCGCTGGATAAAATTCGTGTATTGTATGTGACTGCTTTCCGTTCTCGAATGACCCTAAGGCCAAATTGCATACTACTTTTATACAATTTATTCGCATAATGTTCACCAAGTCGCTGGATTCGTGTTTGATGTTGGCGGGTAGGCGAGTTGTTTTATTGAAACCCAACAACGGTGCCATACTGTTGTTCACGTTGAACACAACATCGTTACTGCACCGTATCGTACATTTTAAAGTACTGGGATCGGATTTCAATTCGAAAAAA